GGACTCTGAATTTCATGGTCATTGAAAAACTGTGACATTACCTTCTATAAGCCCAAACTTGAGTAAACATTGAAGATTTTTAGCGTTTTGGCTGAGTTTATGCTTTGGGAGTTGTCTATTGTTTCTAGTCTGTCATTATACCGCATTCTTGTTCAGCACCCGTGCAATGACCACGCTTGGCTGACTTCCGAATGCTCACCGAGATATGATAATTTAGTATAAGAAAATAGAAGGGATTCCCGTCACGAGTTGGTTTAATTATTGGCTTGCATTAAACCTATGAAAAAATGATATTTTTTTAATAGTAAGTAGATTTAGTGTGTAGCACTTCTTGATTTTTTTGCAAAGGCACAAGAAGCACGAGGATTGATTAAAAATTGTGAGTTAAACCTCTATGTATTACGCGATGGCCTGTCTCACTGTACCAAAATTATCATATTCGGAAGTCAGCCAAGCGCGGTCATTGCACGCGTGCTGAACAAGAATGCTGTATAATGACAGACTAGAAACAATAGACAACTCCCAAAGCACAAACTCGGCCAAAACGCTAAAAATCTTCGATGTTTACTCAAGTTTGGGCTTATAGAAGGTAATGTCACAGTGCATGAGACTTAATATATAGTGGGAAAATAGTTAGCCGTTAAATAACGGCTAAGGTTAACTTCCTCTATATATAGTGGACATATTTAGCCGTTAATTAATGGCTAATTGTTCAGTATAAAAAGTGAAATTTAGCCGTTAATTAATGGCTAAATTTTGTTTTGTATAAAGAGCTAAGTAAAATTTAGCCGTTAATTAATGGCCAAATTTTTGTCTTGTAATAATACAGAGTGACTTAATGGCTAATTTTTTGTTATGTCTGTAGACAAAAATTATTGCAAATTTAGCCGTTGTCTAAACACCGCCAGAAACCCGTCAAGTTCACTTGACATTCGAGGTTGTGGGCCCAGCGTGTCAAAACATTGCAAGAAACCACCACATTCGCGGACAAAAGAAAATCGCTTTTAGTTATTCAGATCCAGGAGGCACTTTGGAGAAAATTAAACAACCTAAAACCTTATTTAGCCGCAACAAAGAGCGTTAATTTTGGATCAGAGGGCAAATCCTGCCGACCAGAAACAAAACCCACAGAAAATCAATATGCGTGTCATGACCTCTCAGTGTGAAACAAGCGGCAAAAATCACATTTGTTAAATCAAAACTTAGAACCCTCCAGAGCATAACCTACCCGCCAGAAGGAGGAAGGTTACTGGAACAAGCAGCATCATTTTAAACAGTTTAGTTAATTCTTTGACTTTCGTCTTTTTCTTTTCGTAATTAAGCGGACTTCTTCTCACGGCTTTCTCACGAGGGAAACAGAATTTAAGAGCGGATGTCTGTAGATATCGACCAAAGGTGGGAAAAATGAAATTTTTGAAAAATCCCCCCCAAACTTATGTAGACTCCCCTAGGTATTCCAATAATGAAAACATAAATTTTTGTTTCATTGGATAAATATTTTGGCGATACGGCAAATGTCAAGTTCCGGAGATTGACGGCCTCTACCAGACCGCTTTTTCGGGCCCCTCGGACCGGGCTACGAAAAGACCACGATTTCAGATCGAATTCAAATATCATTCAACCCAATAGCTTCGTATCGTATTAACAGGGGTTTAATACACATACTGAGTGGTCATGTTCTTGAATTGATCGTAACTGGAATATTTTATGGATTTTGAAATATTTACAAAATTTTAAGG